TGGAAACGGGCCTAATGATGGTTGAGTTAAACTCAGCTAAACAAGACATTTCAAGACGTTCTCATGTATATGTGCATATGTACAGTGAGAATGTCCTGGAACTCATTGTGACTGTGGATATTTCAGATCAGTTTGAGGAGTGCCCGTGGTTTGCATGTTCAATATTTTCATTGTCAGTGTGTCATGTAGTGTTGGACTTACTCTGGTCTGCCCTTTTTGTTCTTGGTCATCACTTCATCTTGATAGACTCTGGTCTTGGCCATCACTTGGTCTTAGTTTAGGTCGTCTTGACTAAAACATGGATATTTGGGTCCTGTAAACACACTTAAGTTACATTCAGGCCTGACACACCAAATCATTTTGTCCTTGAGTGCCCCTTAAGTTAACATTATTTATACATGAAGGGAAAATACTCAGCTTCATCTAATGATGTAACACAATTTAATAAAAAGAAATGACCGTGTTAATTTTCTGGCTCTGTGTCACACACTGTGAGAGGTCTACAGACCATGAAACGTGTGATGAAAACATAAAAATTACCATGATTGCAGCAGGGAGGTTTTCACATGACTGTGACGTTTAGCAGACAAACAACACCCTTCCAGAAACTTCCAGAAAACGCCAAATGCTTACAAAAGCTTCAGCAACATCACTCTCACGGATACTCGCTATGTTGAGTCATTCAGAGTTTTCCTGGATTTACCAAACAAATAAGCTTTAGGTCTCCCGTACAGCCAAGAACCACTCAGATTCTTGAACTGGATTTCCTGCTTCAGTCAGCAGGTGAACTATCCAGACGGACTGAGTCACACCTCTGACTGAAACTTGTGCAGGGCGTGGGGACATTTTCACAAAGGCTCTTGATAATTAGATACTATGACTCAGTTATTGATTATGGTTGAAATATGAATGTGCATTCTAAGTGTTTAAGAGCCTAATGTTGTCTTAATTAAATTAGCTGCCATCGATCCGCTCTCACTTTCCAGCGTTCGCCCATCTTTCCGTCTCTTTTGTTGACTGAGGAATGAAACATCAGTTTTATCTTCCTCATATTGATCCTGCAGCTGTCTCTAATGTCTCTCTTCCTCTGGGATTACTGTAGATTAAATAAAAGTAAGAGGGGATTATAGCTTGAAATCACTTAAAGGGATACTCTTTGGAAGTTGCACTACTTTGTGCTTCTTACACAGAGTTATATAACAACATAAATACCCTTATGTCTTGTGCTGTTTCTGAGCAAAAAGGTCAGTCTGTTTTTTGAATAATTCCTGTTTGTGTGATCAGTAGCAGAGAAATGCACCTTCAGCAGTGATTAAGGTTTACAAGGTTTAAGGTTTGATGACTTTATTTTAAGTATACAAAGCTCTTAAGGTTGTTCAAAGGTGCATTTCCCAAACTTTAAGCAGAGCTGTTGATCATTATTTGAGCCAACGTGGGCTGGCATACCTTCAAACTGCAGGCAGAGACATTACCAAGAGTAGATTACCTTGAACAGATATCTTTAGTGTCTCTCTCTCTCGATATGAGAAGGTGAGTGTGGCGGCCAAATGGCATTTAATGTATTTGGCTGCTCTCACTGAGCCGCATTAAGCGACAGTTTGACAGTGAGACAATGATAAAGTCCTAATTTAATTATCTGAGATTCAGCTGACTTCACTCAGCTAAAAGACCGTCTGCCTCTGCTGCATCTTCATTCTCGTCTTCCTTCTCTCAGCAGCTCCGTGAAATAATGTGTCCAAGGGCGTAGTCTGTTGTTGTTTTGTTATTTTGGCATTGATCATGCATGTTTTCTTTATGCGTTCAATTGACAAGAACAAACTTGCAAATTCCTCAGGCAATGAGTTTAACTTCAGAGAGTGGGTTTTAAACTATTTTTACAGCTGGCAGGATGGTTATGATGGTCTTTGTGGTTTTTTCACTGATAGAATTAGAAGAAGTTAAAGACTTGTTGCTGCTGGTGTGAAAATTGAAGGAAGTCATGAAAGTTATACTCTGCAGATTATGTCAAACTAGTTGTAAACATGTATAAAAATGTACTTTACTTGACATCCTCCAGTTTTCAGCAGGTGCTACCGATATGGTTTTCCTCCTCATGATGTAATTTTAGGAAGTATTTTTAGTTGGGATGCTGCTGTCAGCTACATGTAGATGAGGTTTTCCAATTGTCAGGAACAAAAAACAGTTCAAGGCACCTAAACCTCGAGAAATAAGAGCACGTGGAGCCTGTCAGATTTCAGTCAGGCAAAACAGTTTGGAAGTAAAACAAACTCGCAAAGTTTGCACAAGTAAAGACAAAGCAAACAATGTGCTGTAGAGGTGAGGTGATGCGTGCTGTGTACTTGGCTCACAGCTTTGGTAAATGCAGTATAGCTCAGCTTTAACTCACCTACTTGAAATACCTAACTGTGACAGGTGTACAACTACAACCACAATGCTTGGCCCTGATTGGCAGATGACTCTTGTGATTCAAATTAGGCAAACCTGCTGATGCAGTGAATCAATAACAGTCTCAAAAACATGGATTCTGACTTCTAGGGTTTGTTAGATCACAAACCTAAGAAACTAATCTCGTCAACTTGTGGGGTATCAGAGGAGAAGCCAAGTGTAGCTGCGATTCGTTTTCTTTTGCAAGCTAGGTTTCACTTTCACTTGAACCTGTCAAACTGGTGATTGGGAGCAAATTTTATCCAACATTAGCAACACACGTCTCTAGAGGAAATATCAAAAAGGCTGGGGTGTTGTTGCCATACAGTTGACAAACTACATGAGATGAAACGATGGATTATCGCATACAACACTCTTTGTCGTCCACGATCCGAGCCGGGGGCTGATATCATATAGTGTGTACCCAGCATAACGTTATTGAGAACGATGCATGGAACACATTGATTTTCTGATACGCTGACCTTTAGGAGACCCTTTATAATTAGCTCTTCTTTTATCTCTTTCATCGTCCTTCTTTGAAATCAGTTTTCGGTTCGTACATGTACAGTATGCCTGATTAACTTGTATATTACCACGTGCCAGTGTGTAGTGTAAAGTGGATTGCAAAACAGAAAACAAGCAGAGGTTTGTCTGTGAGATGAGCAGAGTCAAAGATAGGTTCAAGATGCAGGCAAGCAGCTGGGGGGCAGGGGGAGATAGAGGTACGGATTAATTTGCATATTCATGGCTCTGTGCATAGTAAATGAGGCAAAGGTGTAGAGTTACATCAAGCCTTTTTAAGGCAGGAAGGATATTTTTCATGGAGAAAATCTAAATATGTAATTTTGATGAACATAGATGAGATTTTAGGGATTTAATCAGTGCTAAGAGAGAAATTTTAATTTTCTTTTTTTTTATTCTAATTGAGAAGTTTTTTTTATTCTTTCCTGCAAAAAAAATATGGGTTTTCTAAACAGATTTATCACAGTCTTTCCTATAATACTTGTGAACCTCATAACCTTTTAATCTGGAGTTATACAGTGTGCAAATGTCATGAGGTGGTAATAGAAAACAAAAACAGTGTTTCATTTTCCATCATACGTAGCAAGTATGTACATGTTTTTGTTTTTAAGAAATGTTATGTTATCAGTTACTGTAAATAAGAGCAAGGGTAATGTGAGAGCAGATGTATAATGTAAATGAGAGTGTGTGTGTGTGTGTGTGTGTGTGTGTGTGTATGCGGTGCTGAAATGGTGTGTGAGGTTTTATGAGGAGTTAATGAACTGGTTTTGTTGGTGACAGGTTTGTGTGTGCAAGGTGTTGTCTGATATTATTCAGAGCTACTGAAAGCATATGTACTGAACAGAGTTCCGTATGTGTTTCCATTATGTTGTTGCATCCTGTGGGTGTGTGTTTTTATAGATCCGTACTAATTTAGGGTCCTGTCATTCAACATGCGTGTCTGTAATCCTCACCCAGTTTCCGACAGTGGAAAGTTGAGACACAGATGATAAAAGAAAGTCACATGCACGTAAAGGTCAAGGGTAATTCCAATCCACTTGTTTTAGGAAATTAATATAATTTAAGATATTCAACAAAGGCTTTAAAAGGTTAGCTCTGTTTTTTCTTTTATCCAGCATCACTTTAAGTTACATCTTATGAGCTCCTGCTTTCCAGATCATAAGTTAAATGAGTCTATTGAAGAACAGTAGTCAGAAATGAAACTTGAGTCTCCACACTCCTGTTCATTTTCTCTGCATTAGCACGCAGGTGTTGCTGTTAAAGTCCTTTGTGTGATAATCCGGGGCTAATGTTCACACAGACGCCCAATAGACACAAGATAAAAACCTCCCGTCGCGCACGGTTGCCGTGACATTCTCTTTTTTACCTGTGTTGAAAAATTTAGCCTCAAGTCACCTCTCAGGTAACTGAGGTGACAACACAAACACAACAGTCTTTATGTTGCTGTTTACTTCAGCTGTGACTTCGACTACATTGTTATCATACGGAGCAACCAACTGAACATGTTGCTATTTTGTTTTGTCATATTATGAATAATGTAAAAACTAACATCACAACAGCAGGATATTGTTAACATCACTTTGATAAAAGCGAGCAATGCTGTGTCATAACCAGTCAGCTAAATGCAAGTCTGTCACAGCCGATTCCAGTGTGCTTTTACCTACAGCTGGTACAGTAAATGGGCTGTGCATTGTCCCTGTTAAATAACCAATAAAATGAAAGAAATAGAGTTATACAAGATCCCATGATTGCAGTTTTGCATAAATCAAATGCATGTGCTTGTTTTCGTCTTAATGCCTGATTCCAATAAAAAAAAGAATTTGTTTAATCAAACCAATCAAATTATAAAATGATGTCTGTCACCACTACAATTAGGATGTCACTTGCACCCCCTGGTGGATTAAAAAAAAAAAGACTCCCATTGTCAAATTTCAGTGGTTCAGTGATTATCATTTGGCATCTGTCTTAATCTTAAATCTCTGTTGCGCAAGTTCACACTTCACTCTGCCTATCTATAAATTTGTCTGTCTCTCTGTCTGTCTGTTTGTGTGCAGGTCTTCCAGAGCAGTACTACAGCCTGACGTGGTTCCTCAGTCCCGTCCTCGGCCTCATGTTCAGCCCTCTGATCGGCTCGGCCAGCGACCGCTGCACTCTGCGATGGGGCAGGAGGAGACCGTTCATCCTGGCTCTCTGCATCGGGACATTGATAGGAGTGGCGCTGTTTCTGAATGGATCGCTGATAGGTGAGTGTGTGTTATTGGATATTAAAAGTGTTGAAGTAAGTGTGTCAGGGAGGAGGAGAGGACATATCGATCAGCAGTTTATCTCTGCTCCATGGCCCTTTGATCAGCTGCTAAAATCTTGTTAGTCAAGTAAACTAAAGCTACTATAAATCTTGTGTTTCACGGTAATAGCAGTGACTTGGTATTAAGGATTGAATTGCAGACAAATCCACAGTCTTTTAACTGTTAGCAGTACATAAATATTTTACAAAAGTCTCAGTAAACTTCTGTGTGATAAATAAGTTCTCCTATCATTTCATTTAAATGATAGTTAAATATTGTTTTTGTCAGGTTTAAAGGGGATGCAAGCATTATCAAATATTTAAATCGAAAGTACGGTGTGGAAATGAATGGTTAATTTTTTCACAATAATGTGCTTGTCACTTAGATTTAAAATGATTACCTCTAAAAATGAACAGGTCATTTTTTTCACCTTTTTTCTTAAGGCCCTGACACACACAGGGCCGACGGTCGGCTGTCCATCTATGTCGGGCCGTTGGTGAGTGTCTGTCACCCAAGTTTTTGTGGAGATGGAGATAGAAAAGCAAATAAGAACTTAAGTCAAGAAGGAGACAGATTGAAACAAATGTATCATATTACGTACATTATTTTTGTTAGCCATTAAGCTCTTTAGCACAGACGCTTCGTAATTGTCTGTGTAACCAACTGGATGTGATGCGAACGAGCGAGCAAGCGAACATCAGAATGTTTAAATGTTTCCCATTGAAGATGTCCTAACCTGCTGTGTGCATCTGCAAACATGCTAAGCGGCGTGTCAGTTTTTTAGCAAGCCAAATGAATATAGTTGCTCATAGTCTATCTGGACACCTTATCACGCTCTATCCGCCAGAGTTTGCTCACTCGATGTATGTTAGGAAGATGTGTCATTGTTAGCTAGCGCAAGGTAAATACGCTTTGTTCTTTCAACATGAAGTTGCGTGGTTAATGTGCTGCTGGCTAAGTAGTTTCTTGTATCCGTGTTGGTTTTCCAGTTTCCCTTTATGAATGAGGAATACAGTCTACAGACGCCTGCTGCTGTGGAGGCTCATTTTCTCTCATGCAGGCGCAGATACATGCTAGTTGGCCTTTAGCTGTAGTCTTTACAGTGTGTTCAAGTGCAACTTCTTGGATGAGACAAATCCAAGACAACAGTCAGCCTTCATCGCCAGTAGTTCTCTGATGTCAGTTTAGTGTGTCTGGGCCTTTATTAAACAATGAAACAGAACATGCCAGTAGAAAAACAAACTCATATCATCAAATTAAATAAACTAATTTGTTACAGTGCTTTCCCAGTATGAACTCATACATACAAATCAAACAATAAGAACACACAGGAGGGAGATATTCACAGTAACCTAGCCTACAAATACAGATGTTTACTTTGTGCCATCGGCTGAATGCTGTTATCTAAACTATCACGGCTGCAGCGGGAATTTAACTGCAAACTATGACAATGCAGGCACTGTTGTTTTACCAAGCATGCACTTTTGTCACAGAAAACAGAAAAAAGAATAGGACCTATTTATTCCTAGAATCAGTGGAGCATCCCTTGTCCAAAGCTCTCCCCACTGAGAGTCGTGTCTACAGACAGAGACCGATGTTATCCTCAGTCTGACCCTCAGCTTATTACATCATCTAAAAGTCATTCCAAGGTCATATTCAACCAATCCAATCAATCAAATTGATCAGCTGTCAATCATGCCACACAGATATTGAACTCTGGGTTAACTTCATTAGCGTAGTTCCGGGTGTAATGTCATTAATTATGTCTGTCTATACATTCGTGAACAAACATAAACACACACACACCCACACACACACACACACACACACAGGTCGGCAACTTATATCTGTGTTCTGCTTGTTAGCAGCCATTTGTTTTTACAAGCAATTTTCACTATGCTGATTGAAACAATAGATGTTAAATGCAGGATTTATTCCAACAGCATAATGGCTATGGGAAGCATTTGACTAAATGTAATTGGACATGCACATGTGTCTAAAGCTCTTCTGTCTCTTCAGTGTGAGCCAACACACTGGCGTGAAATAAAAGTCACCGCTGCTGGACGCAAGCCGAGGGGAAACACTGTAGAGCGTACATGTTGCATATTCAGATGTGGCCCAAATGGGTGAAGCATGTACGGTGCAACAATAGCCTGGGACTGGGCCTTTTTAAATGTCTCTAAATAGAACAAAGTGAAATGAATTGTCAAAGGAGTTATAAATAACAAGAAGGAGAGCTGTGTGAACTGTTTTCTGTCAGCAGATTTTATTCTCCTCTGTTGAATTCTATTCTGTTCTACCTCCATTCTTCTGCACAGAGGTTGGCACACAGGTCATTTTAGGGCATCGTGTGTGTGTGTGTGTGTGTGTGTGTGTGTGTATGTATGTGTGAGCACCTTGCCAGTGGGGCTGACATGGGAAAAGACCAGTGACCTGTATCAGTGTGAGAGAAAAGAGAGAAAGTGCACATTTCCATGGTTGTAAATATATAAATGTGTGTGAACAACACAGGATGACATGGGAAAACTGTAGTAACCTGTGTATGAGTGTGTGTGTGTGTGTGTGTGTGTGTGTGTGTGTGTGTGTGTGTGTTGACATGGGAACACAGGAGCAGGCAGTTCACAGGGAAATGCTTCCTGTTTGCTTCCCCCTTTCCACCAATCACAATTCACTTCCTGTCTGTCTGCCAGGCTAGTGAGTTGTGCAGCCCCATTGTCCCACACACACACACATATATAAGTACACACACGTAACACACACACTGTGCTGTTTCCCCGACGTTAATGGATTTCATTTTGTAAAGTCATGCTTCGTCACACTGCCCTCTCTTTCTCTCCCACACACACACACACACTCATTTTCACACAGGCTATTAAAGCTTTCCCATGTCACTCTGTGTTGTTTTCTTACATTGATACAAGTTCACACTCAGGCTCTCAGACACGAATACACATCGAGCAGCTTGATTGCAGTACCGGGTCGCCAAATGTAATGACACACACAAGGTCACTCACATTTTGCAAAGCAATATGGGAAATGTGCGGTGACCCATTTCTGTACATCTTTGTGTTTTTGTTACGCAGCTGTTGTGACTCACTAATCAGCTATTGATCACATACGCAGCTCTGAACAGGGTCACATCAGTGCAACAATGGATGTCGGCTTAGTGTGTCAGAGCCTTACAATTTAGCTGAATTGCTATTTAAAATTTTTAGGATGTTTCAAGCTGCTGAATACACACTGTGTACATAAACTCTAGCAGAGTAGCTGAATAAAAGCATCTAAAAACACTTATGTTGCAATAAAAATGACCTTTTAATAAAAAAAAAAACCAACTTATTATTGGTGTGTTTATTGAATTAAAAAAACAAACACTATTTATCATTAAAACTCTTTTTCCATTTATGTCTTTCCCCTTTAGGTTTGTCGCTGGGTGACGAGCAGGGGAGACAACCAATAGGTATAGTTCTTACCGTGCTGGGGGTGGTGGTGTTGGACTTTTGTGCGGACGCTACAGAGGGACCAATCAGGGCGTACCTGCTAGACGTGGCGGACACGGAGGAACAAGACATGGCACTTAATATTCATGCCGCCTCAGCAGGTACCGCTGACATCTGACACCCATATAACTTTAACAAGATATTATGATAATATTATTTCTGGTCCTTCCAGTAAATATTTAGTAATAATAGTTATATGGACAGAAATTTGACATAAATTACTGCAGAGAGAGAAAATGAGATCAGACACAATCCCATTCTCCTAACGCCTCTTCTGTATGTTTAAACTTTTGTCCATGTGTGCAGGTCTTGGTGGTGCGGTCGGCTACGCCCTCGGAGGTTTAGACTGGACGCACACCTTCCTCGGAGCAGCCTTCAAGTCCCAGGAGCAGATTCTGTTCTTCTTCGCTGCCATCCTCTTCACTATCTCTGTGGTGTTACATCTCCTTAGTATTGAGGAGCAGCAGTACTCGCCCCAACATGACAGGCTGGATCAGGTACAGCGAGTGTGTGTCTTTGTGTGTGCTCACTGTAAAATTCAATTTTAGTTTTAAAAAAACAAACCCTAAGACTTTCCTTTCTGTCCTCTCACCAGGAGAGTCCAGATCGCACCAACCCACAGCCATCGGCCAATGGCAGGACTGGACTTCTTGCTCCCAAGCTGGAGTTGATCGGAGAGGATGAAACACTGGACAGCTACGACTTGCATGACCCCTACGGAGATGACCTGTCAGAGCACGGAGATCTTGACATGGACTTCCTAGAGATGGAGCTTGTGAGAAGTAAGTTGACAGACTCTTGCCTTTTTGCAGAATCTGAATTGCGTGTTTTAATTTTTTCTCTTCCAATCCCCAAAAAATGTAAAAGAGAATGAGGTGTGGGAATATCTGGTGGTCCTTTGCTCCTGAAACTTGAAAGGAAGCAATTAAGCTCCTTGTCTTGTTATTTAGAGATTTTATCAGCTGCCACTTACAGTAGATAGTTTGAGGCCATTTTGATTAACTGATTTTCTAATCAAACAAAAACAGAGGAATCTCATGTGTTATCTGTGTCTCTGTCCCTTCCTGAAAAGAGACAATATTTGTGGTATTATTGACGATCTAGTTCAGCGGCTTTTGATCTTGTGTCCTACAGAGACTTACATGTCTGGAGGTGTTTATTCCCAAACACTGGGACAGTTATGTAAAACAAAACACACCTCCAATAACTTTTTACTGGAAGCAGTGTTGAAACTGTGAAAACAATTTTAGCAAAAAATAGATTATAGTGATAGCAAATTGGAAAAAGATTAGCTGTCATTAACAACAGATAGACCAAAGATAAAGTTTTACAAGAGACTGAAAAGTAATTAGCGCAGAAACAAGGGCACTGGATTCACTTATTATAGATTCATATCACTAGTGAAAGATCAGTGTAATTAATCTAGCAAACATATTCATAGAGTCAGAAAGAGTGAAAGTAGTTTGATTGAAGGTTGTTTAGAGTGCTGCAGGAATGAGTTAGTGTTTTAGCACGCCTGGTCACCTTGTCTCATGTTCAATGGGTTTTTCAATGGGTTTTTGGTTAGATGCCTCAAGTAAAGTATGTGGTTACACAAGCTAAAGAGACTTTTGTTCTACAGCGTGAAATACATCAATAAATATTCTTATGAGTCTTAAAAAAGGTGGTTGCTAGCAAGTGGCTGAATGAGGCTACAGACTTCATCACATCAAACATGGCTTTACAGCCTCGTTATGTTGGGGATGTTAAGTCATGAAACTGTAGTGTAGCTCATTTATAGCCTACTGTTAGCTTTTTACTTCTGGTCATTGCATTTAGGCTTCAAAAACCATGAAAGTGTTGGTAACTTGTGAAGATTATCTTGCTGATCAAAACACATAAGCATCATAAAAATTTGTTTGCCACAGAGTTTATTTTCTACAGTAATTCAAAATCCAATGGAAAAAGCTATGGCAACATAATGTGCAACATAAGCCAACGGCCACTGGTTTCAGTTTTCATTTTCACCATCATTTTCTCTTAACTGATCAGCCCTCTCCTCATCCGTCTCCAGGTAAAAGTGACAGTGTTCTCGCCATGGCTGACGCCACTCTTGACCACCTGGACCACGATGCATTGTTCCTGTGCCACATTGAGCCTTCCATCTTTGCTGACCGCCTCTCGCCCTATCACGGCTCACCTCCTTTGACCAGTAACTTCTTCAACCAGCATCGCAGCACTCCGCCACCCCGGTTTGGCAACATCAGACGCAGCAGCAGCGCAGGCAGTGGGGATCTGCTCCACAGCAATAGCCACCAAACGCACGCTACAAACCCCAGGATCTCCCGCCTCTCTGCTTTCTTACAGGAAATGGAAAATGACGACGGTCAGGAGGCATTGCTGAACAACCAGCTCAATGAGCAGCGGACACTGAACGGCCGGCTGTTAGCCAGTGTGACGAATCCTGATAGAGATGGCACCAACAGGCTGAGCTCTAAAGGACAGGCACATCGCGCTGGAATGGTCAAAGGTCAGTGTTTTCATGTTATATTTCACTCTGTGCAACTCTGTATCAAATAAAATACAAATAAATACAACTTAATTAAAAACAGTCACCTAATGTTAACCTATAATGTTTTTTTTATTCCAGCTGCCAGTACTGGAGCACCCATGCGACAGTCACGTCACCGCCACATCTTCTACCGCCAGCCGTCCTGCACCTTCTCCTACTACGGTCGAGTGGGAAGCCACCGCTACCGCTACCGCCGTGCCAATGCCGCTTTCCTCATCAAGCCGTCTCGCAGCATGAACGACCTGTATGAAGTGGAGGCCAGACACAGGAGGAGGCAGAAACAGAGGAACAGACACCGCAGCGGAAACACCAACTCCTCCAGCGGAGACACAGAGAGCGAAGAGGGAGAGGTGAGGAGGAATTTACTCACCTGTAACCATGGCAACAGTGGAGCCCCATTACTCTTGCCTCCATGTTATTTGTCTCGTTTTTTTTTTTTTTTTTTTTTGGTGGATATTGTCTGATGTTATCTGTCTTTAGGTTGAGACCACTGTGCGGCTGCTGTGGCTCTCCATGCTGAAGATGCCCAAGGAGCTGCTGCGACTGTGTGTCTGTCACCTGCTCACCTGGTTCTCCATCATCGCTGAGGCCGTCTTCTTCACTGACTTCATGGGACAAGTCATCTACCATGGAGATCCTACCGTAGGGGAACACACACACACAGACCTACACTATATCTGTATATATAGATCCCCGCATTACTCTCAAGTTCAGTTACTTTAATGGTGTGATGGCTCGTCCAAGCCACAGTTAGAGATGTAAAATTTCAGAAAGAGACTGAGAACAATACCAAACACATTGAGATGAATCATTAGTTGACCAGAAAGCTGTTCTCTGCAGCATCACATAATCTGTAATATCTAAAGCAGAGGTGTCCTGGACTAATAATTTACAGTGTCACCTATTGACTGATAGTCAAATCATGGTTTTTGTTCTTTTATTTGCTCGTTGATTAATATACGATAATATGTATGACATTAGTTTCCATTTTTTCCACACCACACGAAAGAGTTGAAACACGGAACTGAACAATTTGTCGTCTTGACTCGGCATAAGAATCTAGTTTATATTAGGATGTATTTAATCTAGCACTGTTTGTTGTGTGTTGGGAGTAGGTATGGGTGTGTTTGTTCGTGCGTGTAGGTGCCAAAGCGGCGCTGTCGTCAGTACTGACAGGGAGCAGAAGCGATCGATAGAGAGACAGACAGAACACACTCCTAAGTTTTTATTACTGCTTGCTTTCTGAGGTTGTAAACAACTTTCAACTTATTCTTAGACACAGAGAGAGAGAGAGAGAGAGAGAGAGAGAGAGAGAGAGTGCTGTAAGCAGCTGCAAACAGCTTTTTGTGCTTGCCTCCCCTGCTGTTTTTGACAGATAATCATTCATTCAAAAATATTTAGCATTCTGCAAGCGTTACAGTTTTGTGTGACTGCTCTGATTTATTTTATACGTAAAATGAGCTTTACATTGTGATTTTTTGGGGAGAAACCAAGCAATTCTAAGTAAAATCAGACATTCAGCACCCCCATATAGCCCAGATAGAATGATCCTGTGTTTCATAACCACATTTTTCAACAACTGCGACGATTTGACTGTGAGATTGGCATTGGAGTCGGGCTCCTGAGATTGAATCATTGAGGGTCACACCTAATCTGAAAATGATAGCTCCATTACAACATCATCTTATCAGACATTTGATAGCCATTAAACATGTGTAAATGTGTTTGAATGTTTGCTCAGAAACATCCTAAATAATTGGTAGTTTGAGTATTTGTTAAAAAAAAAAAAGTCACCACAAAACATGTCTTTTTCTCTTTGTCCTTTTTTCTAATATTCTCATGTGTCACGTCATCTTGTCTACAGCAGGTTCAAGCTGAACTGAACTCTGTCTCACACCTCAGTTAAAAACCAAACCTGTCTTTCTCTCTCTCTCAGGCTCCTATTAACTCAACTTTGTTGGAGGATTATCACAAAGGAGTTCAGATGGGATGTTGGGGGCTGGTTATATATGCCATGACTGCTGCCACATGCTCAGGTAACACACACAAGCCCTCTGGTTCATGTCATAGAAAGCACATGCATTCACACACTTTCAACAAGCTCTCTGATTGTTAACTCTGTATTAATCAATCACCATATACATGTTTTCCAGCTATCCTTCAGAAGTACCTTGACAACTTTGACCTGAGCATTAAAGTCATCTACATCATGGGGACACTTGCATTTTCCATCGGTATGAACCACAGCACAGCAACACAGTAAAACAAAATAACTGTGAGTGTCTACTAAGTAATTTTTTTTTCTTCTTCCCTCCGCAGGAACTGCTGTCATGGCAATCTTCCCTAACGTGTATGTTGCCATGGTGATGATCAGCAGCATGGGCATCATCTCTATGAGTATCTCCTACTGTCCGTATGCTCTGTTGGGACAGTATCACGAAATGAAAGAGGTACAGACACATTCAGCTGCTTGGTTTCATCTGTGTTTGTTTTGATGACTCTGGTGATAGTCTGTATTTTTCTAACATCCTGTAAATCTATTTTTGAAATATGTAGCTTTCATTAACTGTAACTGTCTCTGCCTCCTGCAGTACATCAGGCACAGTCCTGGTAACTCCCGCCGAGGCTTTGGTATCGACTGTGCTATCTTATCCTGTCAGGTGAGTGTTGTCATCATGAAGTCTTTGTGGCACACTCTTATATATGTATGTATGCTATAGTATGCTGAAAGCTCTGTGTTATTTTGTAATCACTTGTGATTTTGCAGGTGTACATCAGTCAGATCTTGGTGGCCTCGGCTCTGGGTGCTGTTGTGGAGGCTGTTGGCAGCGTCCGTGTCATTCCCATGGTGGCCTCTGGGGGCTCCCTTCTCGGATTCTTTACGGCCTTCTTCCTGGTCATTTACCCGACTCCAAACGGGTGAGAAAACCATCTGGCCTCTCATTACCTGACTTGTCATTAAAGGGATAGTTCGGAGTTTTTGACACTGGGTTATATGAGGTACTTCTTTTACTACTTCTGAGGTACTTCTATTACCTACAGTAGATGGTGGTTGGCACACCTGCGCTTTGGAGAGGCAGGCTGGAGTACTGCTACGGAAGCTAAGCAATGCACTGTTGTTGACAGGGGCAGCAGCAAAATCTATTTTAGCTACCAAAAAACATCAATATCAGTTTAATTGTACACTATATTTACAATATTTTCACCTCTATATGTTGCCGTCAGACAGCCCTTTCCAACAGGGAACTGAAGCCAATAACCAAAAGTAATTTTACCTCACAGAAGAAAGGGGTTTGGGGGTCTACTGCTGCCTCAGTCAGCTGGTTTATTTGTGTGACTTTGGTGTTAACGGTTAGGTCAGATTTACCAAAGACACACAATAACGCAAACTAACCAACCGAGGCAGTGGTATAGACCAGCAGCTGCTGTGTTCTGCAAGGTAAAATTAATGTTTCCTTCAAAGGAGTCTGGCAACTTTGAACAGAACATAGAGAAAGTATCCCTTCAGAAAGAGCTGTCTACTCCAGCCTGCTTCTCCAAACTAGGGTCATGCCGACCGACATCTACTGTAGGTGATACACTGACTATGAATTAGTATCTCATACAACCCCACTTCAAAGAAAATTAACCCTTAAAAGAACAGTTTGACATTTTAAGAAATACACTCATTAGCTTTCTTACCAAGAGTTGAAAAGACTATTACCACTGTTGTGTCTTCATGGTAAGCCGCTAGTTAGCTTAGCTTAGCACCAAGACTGGAAATGGGGAGTTGTTCTGACTGTTTCCAGTTTTTATGCCTAAATTAAGACATTGAACGCCTCACACTACTAGATATTCTGGGCCGAACATTGGTACTGACAAAGGTCCCAGACCAGATTTCTCCTCCAATTGTCAGTAGGGCTGTTGGGGATAAATTGGCCCAAAACTCCTGTAGTCTAAGACCAGCTTAATTGGCCTCTTTCTTTTGGCAAGCAAGCGAATAAGCCCATTTCTCAGGTTGTCACACTATTCCTTTTAGCCCAAAATACAGTCCTAATAGATGTGATCTTAATTATGTTTGACAGGGATGGGGAATCAGCCAAAGCTTCGGAGAAACGATCCCTGACAAAGCTGGAAAATTCCAACAGCAACGAAGTGGCTGTCACCGTGGTGGCAGAAAAACCCAGCTTCCTGAAACTCAACAAGAAGGGCAAGGCCACCACCACCACCACTTCCTGTCACACGGAGAATGAGTCTGCTCTGTGATCAGCTGGCTTAAGTCGACACAACAACTAAATTCAAATTTGAATGCAGATGGAAAGACATTTGGATATCACCGTCCTCGTGGTGCTGGGGTTTACAGACAAAGAAAGAGGAGGGCGATTGGCGGTCCACTCTTTATGTCTGTTTTTGCATTGACAGGGGTTTTTTTTTCTGCTTTGCTGTGTCTTGATTTACTGAAGGAAACACCTCAATCTGACAAGGGACCAGTGTTATACCAGACCAACTACAAAATAAACATTCTGGTCCCAGAGCTGTTTCAGCCATTACAGAAATTCCTTCCACTTTTCACCCTCGTGGACATTTGACTGATCCGTCAGGGTCGTCCAGAAGTGACTAATCCATTAGTCGTGGTTTTAAGTAGAGGTTGTCTCTGTCTCTCAGGGCCTCTAGGAGGTGTTACTGAGCAGCTGCCTGGGCAGGAAACTTCAGGGGACATGCACGCACACACACCTCTTCAACACAATCGAATGAACACATTAATAATGAACGTTGTTGATGAACATTAGTCCTCGAAGCTGCAATCATTCAAAAATGCTGAAAATTGTTCTTCCTCGCTGTGGAATCAGCCTGATCGAATCTTTGCTAAAATGACGCCGACAAGATCGTCAAGAGAGTGTGTGTGTTTCTGTTGACATTTTCACCAAAACAATCCTAACACACTCGGATTTGCGGGACTTTTACAGCACTCGTTGACAGTAGCTTTAAGACTCTAGAGACTCCTGGAAGTGGCATTTCTGAAGAGCCCGAAGCCTGGTCACTGGGGGGAAATGATTGATCTTGAGTCCCTGGATTCATTGCAAATGTTTATTTTTTTCACCCTCCTCCACATGGCAGGAGCGCTGAAGTCTTTAATTTAGCCTTTAAGTTGACAATAGGCTCTGCTCAGAAGTTGTATGTACATTAAGGGTCAAGAATACAGATGTGTATTGAGTGAAATTCCAGGCAAGAAAGAGCGCAGATGCAATACGTGCAGTATACAGGGCATTACAATCCCAAATATTATTTTCATGATTTATCGAGGGCCCAGAATGATGCTTCTGTTTGTTTGGAATAATCTAAACTAACCTACATGCTGCATGTTAGAGGAGCAGAGACAAACCAAACACCAGAGAAAAAGAGAGAGGAGGAGTTGTTCTCCTTCACTCTCAACTTTCTCACTTATTATTTTATTTTTTTTTAGAAAATGCTGTTAGCACAATGTTTGTCACTAACTGCACATTAGCTGAGCCATTGTTTGAAAGAGTGTCGAATAGCATTGAGTTAGAAAAGTTTTGAAATGAGGATGATCAGAGGATGTCGAATTCGGATGGAGCTTCCTGACACTCCTCTGGTCCAGTGGGTCCACTAACTCTACTTGTAATCATCAGAGTCTGGAATGGGACACAACAATAGTAGAATGGTTAATGGATATATTTAAAGAAGAGTTTTATAATGTGAGAAAGGCAGAGTGATGAAAACTATTAACCTTTATAACAGGCTTAGGCTTGTTGCTTTAGCCTCGATGGAGGATTTCCACTCCTGGTTTAGATGTCTTGGTTCCACCATACTGGGCCAAATCTAAGTGTGATATTGTAATTTCAATGCTCATTACATCTGAGTGTTGTATGCTGAATGGATATTTAGAATAGAGGAGGATAGAGGGATAAAAGGAGGACTGGAGAAATGTATTCACTTTAAAATAGATACAAATATTTAGTGCGTATTTCCTGAAATGTCATAGTAGTCTTTAAAATGCTTGAACCCGAGCAAAAGTTGGATTTTTACAAATTTGGAAATGCATGTCTTAACTTAATCCAATCTGTGGATCATGGGTGAGGCCTCAATAGAGGCAGACTTTTCCCAGAGTCCTTGCAGATGTCAAAATCTTAAAGTCTTGAAAACCACAACTTTATAGAAAGCCAACATGGAAAATTAAACCACGTCTCCTGAAAAAGATAAAAAATACTCAGAATAATTCATCAAATGACCTAAAAAAAAAAATAAAAAAGTTAATCACCAAAATCCACCCATGACTAGAATATATTATTTGAAAGTGTGGTAAGAGATGCCTGTGGCGCTTAATGCTGCATCTGCTGTTTAATAAAGGCAAGAAGCAGCAACAACGATGGTGGAGGAGGAAGTGAAACTGTTGAGTTTAGCTTTACTTCAACCTTATTAACCTTTAAACACAGATGATGATAAGACTAATGGGCTAATCACAACAAGTACTTAAATGCAAATTGTATAAATTAAACCTTTACTAATACAAAATGATGCTGAGTATAGACTGATAAGGTAAAATAATCTTGGAATGTTTTAATAGCTGATTATGCTGGACGTGTTTAGAAAAACTTGTAGTTAGAAAGACGAAATGAAAAATTTAACAGTTTATCGTGTCTTCTGTTTTTGGACAAATCAGATTTTTCGTTGCAATAATGGGCTCCGTTAAGGGTTGCAGGGTTGTGTGTGGTGGCGATTTGGGTCGGTTTTCCTTTCACCTCAATCAGCTGAAACATGCAAACTGAAAGGAACTGAAATGTAAATGGCAGTGAGTTAATTTACTGGTGAAAGAACATTTAATTTTAGTGTGTATCGGAGCATTTAGCAAAGAAGATTGTTTTAATTTTTGGTTTTTAGAAGAGGTTTCACTGATGATGTGGTTGTTTTTCACTTAGATGGGTGTCGGTGCAGAGTTTAACCCTGTTTTTAACAGAATAGATTCCTTCCATAATTTCAGGTACATTCAGTCAGACTCAGAGCAGAGTAGAGTAGAGAGTATTTAGCTTCCTGGGTTGATCCTGCTCTGGCTGTGGTGCTGGGACGAAAAAAAAAAAAGCAGGGATGGGACGATGACGAAAGACGAGGAGGTACAGATGCCAGAGTTTTGAATGGCTTCTGAAACCACTAGGGCAATAAAACATTCTGGATTGAATAATGGACACGCAACTTCAGTTTAATGACAAACATGAAGATTAAAACAAAAAAGCAAAAAAAAAAAAAACAACTTTGGGATTGGGAGGTTTGCATGCGACAACAGCAATATGCATGTGTGGAACACCAAAGTATGACTCTGTACAAATCACTCGAGCTCTTTTCTTTATTGTCCTAATAGGTCAGGGATGTATTTTCTAATGCATGGCTGGGTGTTTGTGTCTTTTTTGTTTGAACATAAATGTGTAAAGAAAAACCAACATGTACTCTTTAAGCTGAAGCATTGTGCTCGGTCTGGGTCAGTACACTCAACAAGCATGTGACTTTTTCTTTCTTTCTTTCTTTTTTTTTTTAAATATATTTTTGCACATTTTTGAGCTAAGTTTCAGACAGCACACATCTCGTTTCCTTTCAACACGAGGTGCGTGAAGAAGGCGAGATGCGCGCCGTCCTGAGCGACACTCCTTGTTTAAAGCGTAGTCGAGAAACTCCAGGCCTCGAATACTTGAAGTGCAACTTGAGTGTTTCTGAAGTCTTTGATTTTTCGGGGGGGGGGTCTTTATTCTCATTTCTCAAGCCTTTTATTTACCGTAGACTCTGGAATGTTCAGTCAGCAGCATGGCCTGCTGGGAGATTGAGTTCTTAACTTTGATTCCATCTTGTGACTTAAATGTTTTTTAAACAAACAAAGTCAATGAATGTGAAGTGATTTCAGCCGAAATCATTTTTGTTTTGATGTTCGATAAGCCGGTGGGGGGGCGGGGGGTGTCTTACATTGCACAGAACTTGCACATAGTGAGAAAAAAAACAAAAATACAACAGGTGTGTTGCAAGAGAAAGAAAAAAAATACTGTTGATATTTATTTTTTTGAGCTTTTTGGCTATAACGGACATTTTTCACTTAATTTCCAAAAGAATAAATAAAGCTGTTCTATTTGCTGTTACGGGAGATGTTTATGGAAGCAAATAAGAGACAAAAATATTTTTATTTTCGTAATTTTAACAGCAACTGAATACATAATACTATTGAAATTTAAACAATGCTGAAGTCACTGAAATATTTGACTTTGAAAACCATGTATTTGTCCTGAATTTACCTTTTTGAAATTATAACATTTCTTGAGTTGCAATTTCAAAAGCCCAAAGATCCCAAAAAAGTTTAATTATTTAAAAAAATAGATTCAAGTTGCTCAAATGCGATCAGTCCAATTCAGATCTAAAAATAATGCTAATAATAACAAAACATCAGTCAAATTTGATTGGTCAAAACATTCAGGCTTTTAGATTTTCATATGCCCAGTCAAATTTAAGCAGCGTGAATCTTTTCTTAAAGATTTAAAAATAAATAAATAATGCAACTTGAATTTTTTTGTCTATATTTGTGAACGCTGAAAAAACAAATACAGTTTCAGCTTTTGGAGTTGCAAATCAAGGACATTAAAATTTAGAACAAATTAAGGTACTGTACATGGTTTTCAGAATAAATGATTTCAATATGATCAATTCAGTGGCATTTCAATTTCAAAATAAAATATTCAGTGGCTGTTAAGATGTAAATACTTAGGTCTCTTATTTGCTTCCACAGATGTTATAGGAGTGGACTGGGTTGTTTGTGTGCGTGTGTGTGAGCAGTCGTCTCTGCTGCTCACATGTAAAGCAAGAGGCAGGAGTGTGTTAAAAAACGTCATCTCAGTGTTTGTTTTGGGTTCATGTTCTCTGTTCTTTGCAATCACCTGGTTTACACTTAACTCTGGAATCGATGGCTGTAATACCGGAGGTTATTTACGAGTCTTTATTGTCTCTGTTCTGGTGTTTTAACTCAACTAGAAAATGTCTTCTTTATTTTGTATCTCTTTGAATTTTAAGGCAGAGCCACACACAAGGGTTTGGCCTTTGCACTTTTTCAGTGGCAGCCATGTTGGCTCCACCATCCTGATCATTGAATGAATGTGGCGACGTGGTGATGCTGTTTCATGTCTCCAGCCAGCAGCTGTCAGTGGCAGCAGCGTGGCAGCCATGCAGTTAGTCCAACCTGGTCAGACTCAGTGTATGTTAGTGCGTGTGTGTGTGTGTGGCTCTGCCTCTGGTAAACTGTGTGTAAATGACGGAGGAGAGAGATGCCTATATACTTTGATCCTCACAGAGATTAAATCAAGAAGTATACTTAAAGAATGGGAAAGCAAGTATGCGCAGTGTACTATATATATAATATGCCTTGTTATTTGAAAAAAAAAAAAAAAGATGTAAATATACATATTTCTCTTTTAGTTTCTTCTTTTTTGCTGCTATAAAAAAGATGATTATTTTTGTTAGTAGTTTTGTTTTCTATATAAAGACTGTATATATCTCTATGTTCTGTAAATATGCTCGAGCCTTCATATGTAGGACTCTGGATGAACACTGTATGGAACGCACCTTTAAAATCTGTTCAGAATTAAACTAACAATGACTCCTGTTTTTATTCAACGTTTCAAAACATGTGAGAACAATCAATAATGAAGAAGGGATTCACAGCAAACCATACACATGTATTTATGTCATATATTTATTTCAACACTTGTCTTTATCTGAACACAGTTCCCCACAAATACAACATGCTAACGTTATTAGCACAAACCTATGGAATTTACATTGTATAAATTAGCCTAGCAGCTAGCGACCTTTTCCTCTTCTCATATAAAACCAGGGACAACAGCAACACTTAACAAAGGTAACAGTTCATAATTTTGTCCCATTACAACTCACAAGGTTCACTGACAAAACAACTGCCTTATACTTAACACGTTTTCCAAACAAATATAACATGCTAACGTTATTAACACAAGCCTATGGCATTTTACATTGCATAAATTAGGTTAGCAGCTAGCGATCTTTTCCTCTTCTCATATAAAACCAGGGACAGCATCAGCATTTGACAAAGGTAACAATTTTGCCACAATATATAACTCATTACATAAACATGTAAAAAAAAAAATACAAGTAAGGAATATGTACAAATATGTGCATCACAAGTGTGCTAAAGTTAGGAGTTTAGCCAGTTATGCTGTTGGAAATTGGAATATGATTACAAGCTCCACATACATTTTGGTTTGGTTTTGGTTAAGCTTAATCATAATCATAATCACATTACACAAAGTCTGATTGTTTTAGAATTACAGTAAATACACATTTATACCCCAAAACTTCCAAAATTAGATACAGTATAAATCATTTAGAAAACTATAGGGACGTAAACATATAAAGAAAATTAAATTCAGGTATTTACAATTTACATTTAATCTAAAGTTGACCTCATAGAAAATTGGATACACATGCACTTTAGGTTGGTGCTCTCTTTTGCTAGTTTAGATACATGAAAGATGTTTCCAGAAAGACTGTGGGTATCATTAATAATTCAGAAAAGTATTCAATATCTTCAATATCATCAAAGTATCTGGTCTGATTTGATTGTTATCGCTCTACTTTATTTAAATGGTTTAAAAAGGATTTAAGTCAACGTGTGGGACGACAGGATGCAGATGTTCAGCAGAGATTTTGTTGACAGAAATGTTCTGAAGAAGTTATTACCAGTGTATGTTAAGAACTGGTCATTTTCTCTTATAATAGATACTTAATTCCACTGATTTTACACAGAGATCTGAACAGTGCATGTAAATTTCACTCAGTGTTATCACTGCATGTTAGATGATGCAAGAATCCGTCAGTTAAATAAGCTCCCATGAAATACTGATAACAGAGAAACAAAACACACTCAGACACTTTCAGGCAGAGCAAAGAAAGAAGTTATATTAAAAACTTTGATTTAGTTGTCAAAAGTAGTGAGATCGTTTACTTAAGTAATAATACTACAGTATAAATACTCTGTTACAAGTAAAAGACCTGCATTCAAAATCTTACTATTTTGTTCATCACTTTAATGTTGAAGCTTGTTAATGTGGGATTATTTGTTACTACATACACTCCTAGGTAGCAGTCAGATCTTATCTTTATCCTCAATAATACATCATAATTCATTAGTTGATTATATTTTGTATTAAAAATCAGAATCTGCAATTTAACTAGTAATTAAAGGTATCAAATAAAAAGTACCATATTTTCCTGTGAGATGGAAGTAGAAGTAAAGGGGCAGAAAAATGGGAACTCAAGTAAGGGCTTTTTCTTCTGAGCATCAGCATCTTTTTCAGTTGCTCCCAATAAGGAGAGAAAAGCTTGGCAAAAAGCACAGCACCCAACGTCTTTTTTCAGAGTGCTCTAGTTTTTTTGTGCAGCTGCTCCAAGTGCTTCTAGTTGAAAATCACTGAACTTATCAGAAAGGCACTGGTGTTGTTGCTGCTGCTCCTTTACCATCTGTCCGGAGCTGTTTGATATGTCAGTGAGAAACTGCTACAACAGACAGAAAAGCCCATTTCTGGTAACTGACTGATGGGGTGCATTGTAAGCTTGTTGGTAGGTTCGGAGTCACAAAAACAGCACAAGGAGCGCTCTTTTTATGAAGCTCTAGGATGAGAATCACCCCTAGTGCCCTGTTGCCACTTAACTGCCAAAGAAAAACACTACACACGCCCTAAAGCTTAAAGGTCCAGTGTGTAGTATTTAGTGGCATCTAGTGGTCATCTAGACTCAACATCGACATAATGGTTTAAAACTGACCGGTGTTGTTCTCACAGGGACCAAATAGTGTGCTGTGAAGTGGTCAGTACTGCAGAGGTTAAGTAAAAGAAAAGTTTGAGTGTTACATATAATAACAATTCATGTGACTGCTGGTGAAGCAACCTGCTGGTCTGCAGTTTCAGGCCGACTTCAACATTTTTTTTTTTTTTTCATGGGAAAAACATCTTAGCTCAGTATCTACAAAGCAGCCAACTGGTTTCCCATGATGCTGTGTGGTCAGACCACTGAGAGAGGGGACGAAGATCAGAAAACTTTGTTCCTGCAGAATCAGATTTCTCTCTTACACACTCAGGGTCACAGCCCCCCCTCCCTCTTTCCATACAGAGAAACCAGAGAAGGAACCTGAAACTGGTGTGTGTGTGTGTGTGTGTGTGTGTGTGTGTGTGTGTGTGCGTGTGTGTTTTACCCAGTCTCATCATGTGACTGCAGGACCAGCTGATGGTAAGTATGTGAGTGTTTGTAATGTACTGATGCAGAGGTATAAAGTTACAGGACCAGAACGTTACATTCGATGAACTATAATGACCTGCTGCCCCTCTGGAGGGATTAAAGGGAAATACCACACAAATTAATGACTTCACTTATATTCCTGCTGTGACTGGCACTTTGTGCACTTTATTTAATATCTGTGAAACTGGGCAGCTCCTCTTTAATATATATATTATCAATAAAAATGAAAACATTTTGAGAGTTTCCACACATATTTACCACGTCTTACTTTAGTCACTCCAGCAGAAGTCCATGTTGGGCAATAATTTGGATTAAGTTTGGTTGTGCATGTCCCTTCTTGAGGCTTCATGCAGTAGAGGACAATATCTGTGTTCAACATGTATGTTTTTATTCCAATCATGGGATAGAATTTGTTTGCTATTTTGGATTTTACCCTGAAAGACCGGCCACACACAGATTGCACTGCTCAACTTTCTTAAATGTAGCTGTGTCTAAGCAGCAGCTACATGTGCCTGAACCCAAAAATTACAAAAATATTCTCAGGTATATATTTGATTTGTTAGCACAGTCAGTGTTCATTTCATTTACTGTTACATACTAGCGGGTGCGACACTGCTGTGGTGAGACATCGCTGTGGTGAGACACTGTCCTCTGGTGGAACAAATCAGATGAGCTCTGTAGATCTGATCCAAGCTGATTTTACAATCTTTCTGCTACACAAAATAATTCGCTATAACTTTAGGCGTTTTAGTCATGAATAGTTTAAGTGTTTGAGAGTTACACTGAATGCAACAGCAGCAAAAGGGTGTCTCTTGGTAAATCCCACAATTAAAAGTATAATATAAAATTAATAAGGGGAAGAGAGGTGTTAAAGCTGCCAAAACACCTCTAGTTGTACTACTGCAAGGCATAGGTTTAATTCATTTACAGAGGTTTTAAAATGAAGTGTACCTGGCTCGCACACTGAATGTAATAAGACTGATTAATTTGTTGCACTTCATCCACTTTTCATTATGTCTGATTTGATTTATGGCATTTGTATTTTTGTTATTTTTTATGTTTCGCTAAATGTGAAACAGTCGACAACCTGGGGTGCAAGAAAAATCCTGTTTTTTTTCTGATAATAAAGTGAAACCAAATCAAATCAAATAAAAAAGAATCTTATATTTGACAAATCATAAATATCAGGAAAAATGGCAAGAAATAAACAGAATTAAAAAGCATATAAATTAGTAAGAAAAGACAAAAACAAGCAATATTGGTGAGGCTGTAGTTCACAGAAGAAAATGAAAAATTCAGAAAGTCATCCCTTTAATACCAGTGTACAGTGAGAACCAAAGTTTGTGTAGATACAAATTTACATAAATAGAAAAATAATAAAAGAACTTTTTTTTTTTTACTACACTGTCTAAAACAACACAAAATGTCCACATTAAGCACTTATCATATTTTGAATGTTCCTCCAAACCTCTTCTGACGATCTCATGTCCTCTGAAATATCAGAAAAAAGTTGAACATTTGTTGAAACTCATTTAGTGGTGTTGTTTTTCCTAACTCACTTTAAAGTCAGTGTTACAGAGATCTAAGTTCTCTGTGTGACACTGACGGCAACCCGCCATTTAGACACTTGTAAAATGATAAACAGAGAGCTTCACTGTGTACTTGAGAGAGTAACTGTTACAAGTGTTTATCCCTCTGAAAAGAGCTTTGCTTCTAACTTATCTAATGTGTTGACTCAAGACACGGTCCCATTATTTCGCTCTCTAACCCTTCTTTCTGTCATTTTGCATTTTAGTGGCGATTCAGATGAATGTTTTTTCTCTGCTTTGGCTTTACACAGCAAAACTAATCAAGTAGTACAGTATAGTGAAAGCATTGGGAGGCAGTACATAGTGGAGTGTTAAAATACAACTTTTGCATTTTTCACCTTTATCAGACAGGTTACAGTGAGGTACAGGCAGGAAACATAGGGACAGAGAGTTACGGGTGTATTACATGAGGTCCCATGGTGGAACTTAACCAGGAAGTGTCATGATCCTGGGTTTTTGTTAATATTCTGTTATCTTGTGGATTTCGTTTCGGGGTTTACAGTTTGTGTTCTTCCTTGTTTTGTTGTTCATTCATTCAAATTTAATCTGCTTCCTGTTTTATTTTGTAGATTCTCTTCTCATGTGTCACGTCTGGTTTTACTTCCTGTCTTTGTGAGTTTTCTATCACACCTATCTCGTTAGTCCTTCCCTGTTCCCAGAGTCTTCCCTTCACACCATTTCTGTATTAGTCTTGTTTGCTCCACCCTAGCGTTCCCCTCCACACCCTTGTTATCTCCATTTCCCTCTTGCCTGTGTCCTCCTACTCCAGCTGTGTCTCATTCTTGTGATTAATTTTCTGTGTCTATATATTTGAGAGTTTCCCTTTGTTCCTGGTCAGTTTGTCTGCCCTCATTCCTTGTTCTTTGTGTAGTTCCCTGCTCCGTTTCCTGCCTGGTGTATATTGTTCTGTTCAGACTTTTTACCTGAATTCATTGTATTATCGCGGTTGATTTTCAGTTAGTTTTGGTTCCTCTGTCATTTGGACTTTCTGTTGCCTGCCTGTTCTGGATGTTCTTTTTTATTAGTGTCATTAAAGATTGCTTTTTGTTTAACCTCAAACCTGCCTGCTGCTCTGCCTTTGGGTCTGTCCTGAGTCCTGACAGGATGTTGGAGTTTTATGGTTACATGGTGCAGCTTCAAATACAGGGAATATGTCACAGATTATTTTAAGAAACAAGACAAAATTGCAAAAGAAAAATTGCACAATGCAATGCAGTACAACAGCTCTGCCATATAGTCTTCTGCTGTGAAGGTGATATGGAGATTTTGTTAAAACTTTCTTACAAGTGTTAGAGGAGTAGTGTGCAGGAGTTAGTGCCATCTAGTGGTGAGAACTGCAGATTGCAATCAGCTGAAACTTCTCACATGTGCCAAGCATGAACTCCTGGTTAGGATTCCTTCAGTGTTCATTGTTCAGAAGGATTTTACCGGGAGCTGAATTATCTGCAGGTCTCCCTCTCTTTGACTTCAACTGATGAAAACACTAAATAAAGCAGTTACAAATTAGAAGTTGGTGTTTGTTTGATGCTGTTCGTCTTGGTCCAGAGGGGCTGCTAACTATGGTGGTCAATGTGAAAACGTGAATGGCGCTATCTAGAGCCAGCTTTGGGTTTGTCCACTCTGGGCTACTGTAGAAAAATGATGGTGCAACATGATGATCTCCATGGACGAGGACCTGCTCCCTATGTAGATATAATTGGCTCATAAGCAAACAAAAACACAACGATTCTTATTTTCAGGTGAAGATAAACCAAAGAATATATCATATTATATTCCATGTCTATTAATATGTTCCCCTAAATCCTACACACTGGACCTTCAACTCGGCTATATTTATCACTGAGGTCATTGTTTGTGGTGGTGTTGAACTGGACTGCATTATACTGAAATATGTTGCAAATGTTCTTTCCTCCCCATGTTTGTAAATGGAATCAGCAAAACATTAGAAACACCTCTAAATATAATTTAGTCTTGTAGAATGTCACCGTTAACTACAAACTAAATAATAAACATACCGTTAAATAAACAACTCTCTGATATCAAAGATATCGAGATTATATAGAGATTATATAATGGATTGCTTTTAATTTTACAGGTGTACCTAATAAAGTGACCAAGACACCAAAATATCAACTCTGTACATACTCCGTAGTTATAGTACTGCACTTCATGTGAGTTGGCAGACTGAGCTGTAATTCAAGGTCTCCTGTATCAAAAACATTTTTTCTGTTTTCAACATCACAATTAAATGTGGTCTTTCCAACAGTACAAGCTCACTGATTTCACAGCAAAAACATCCCTCTGTGGTCCAGTATTTGCTCTCACCAGTCTCAAGACAACATCCAAGCAAGGTCATGGGGGACATAAAAGACAAGGACATGGAGAAATAACGTGATGGATGGACGAATGAAAGCAGCCAAAGTGATGTTTATCCTTAGAAGTGGTGTGTTTTGTCCATACTAAAGAGAAATTTGCAGCATTTATATTCATTTCTGTTTTTTGACATCTGTCTTTGATGATGAATTTCATTCTTTTCCACCCTCTGAATCTTTCTCTTTGTGTATCCATCACTCTTGTTGAGTCACTCCCTACAGGTGTCCTTAAATGGAGTGCTCCATGTTGGCCGCAGAGATGGGAGAGGTTGTGAGGGTGAGTGTAGCCACACTGTGAGCTATTGCCAGGGCCGTACCTGGACATGTATTCACTGAATTCCTCTCCCCCTCTCCCCCACTTGTGTGCCCCGCCTCCCCATCGCCCTCTCTCACTCCCCTCCTCGTCCTCCATACTCTCTTGAAGCTGTCCGTCACAAAGCAGTAAACAACTGGATCCAGGCAGCTGTTCAGGCTGCTCAGAGTAACTGTGATGTGATAGGCAAGTATGTGCCACGCCTGACTCAGTCCCTCCCCTCTGACTTTGACCCGAAAGTAAACCAGCACCTGCCGGACATGGAATGGCGTAAAGCAGATGGTAAATACCACCAGGACGGTGGCCAGCAGCCTGACGGCACGTGCCCTCCTCGCCCTGCTCTGCTGGGGCATTGGGCCATGGCTAGAGGAGAGAAAACAGGCAACACGCAAAGTGAAGCCCACCACTGCTAGGAGGGGGAGCAGGAACTCCAGGATGGTGAGGTAGAAGAGGGCAGGGAGGAGCACACAGGAGGAGCTGAACTCCAACGCAGTGGTCTGTAGAGAACAGGATACACGCTGAGTCTTAAAGTGCTCTTTCAGCTTCAAATAATACTCAATATCTTCACAAGTGTGATACAAAACATTATTTTTATAGCAGCTTTCAAGTCCTTTAGAGCACAAACAAATGATAAAGTAAATAAAATCCCAAACCCAAATAAGATATAAAACAAGATTAATTACAACAAATACCACCTGTTAAGATAAAGCCATGACATAAAACTAAGATTTAAAAAAGAATACTGAGTTCGCCTGCCTGAGATCCTCCTATACCCTAGCATGTATACAGTAAATAAGAAGGGACCCAGGATAGACCCCTTGGAGGACCCCACAAGCTGTTCTCAGTTGTTATCAGTTCAACCAGACAGATTTTTGCTTCTCAGATTGTTGAATTTTAAGGCTTTTGAAAAGCCTGAATGGACAAAACAACCCAATAAATGTTGCCATTGAGTGTTTCTACAAAAAATGAATACATTACATTTGGATGTTATTATGAAGATGGTATGTTGAATGTCTCAACAACGCTGTGGTTAATGTGTGGTTAGGTTTAGGCACATAAACCACTTGGTTATGTTAGGAAAGATTATGTTTTGGCTTGAAATACTTGGTTTGAGGGGCATGATCCTGGCAGGAAAAGATGTTTTGGTAAAAACATCAGATTTTCATGGCAGTATCCTCACCCACTGGTTGCTACAAGACACTCACAATGACAGAGCCTAAAATGCTGCTGGAAAACAGTAATAACTTGATAAATCACAAATGGTTTTGGCATTTTCTGGCCTCAGTAAGTGCTCTGCAGTCATCTGTCACTTGGCAGGCATCTCGCCTCTGTGCCATGATATCATCATCCCCTCCACCTCCTTATGACTAAGTCGACTCATGTATTATATCACTTTATAAAAAAGTTGAAATGGCTGGTATGGAATGTGCAAATGTAACGTCTGTGAACTTATCTGTTTGTGTTGTTTGTCGTGCATGTGACTTCACCTGGAACGAGTAGGTGACCACAACTGCAATGAACCAAACTGTGGCACTGACACACCTGGCTGTCCCTGTGGTCCTGCATCGATGGAGAGTACTGGATGCATGGACGACAGCGAGGTACCGATCTATACAGATACTGATAGAGGAGATGAGTCACAGAAAAAAGAAGAGGTAAAAAGAGTTTTGCTGATAGTGTTCCTTCATTTCAAATTATGAATGAAGGAGTAAGTTACCCACCTGGTGAGAAACAGTATACTACAGTACATGTTGACAAAGTAGCTGAAAGTGTGAACATAGGAGCAGGCCACACAGCGCCCTCCACTGTGGTACAGAGCGATGCGAGCGGGCAACGATAGCGCCACCAGCAGGTCAGCTACAGCAAGGTTCATGGTGTAAACCACAGAGGCTGAGGAGTGAGCGGAGGCCCCACAGAAGACATAGAGAGCCAGACTGTTGAGGACCACACCGACCACCAGCATCAGACAGTTACACACCTGCAGTAGGAGGAATGGTGTGCTCTAAATACAACTATGGATGATTCACGCTGGTTGAAAAGTTCATACAGAGTCAGTCATGGTAACCAGCATGGCTGTATTTTAAAACAATGTAAAGTCACATTATACTAGTTATTCAGTTCTTATTAATTGAGTTTATTTTTAAGTGGACTAACAGTGTCTCATCTTACCATGAGAGAGACCCACACAGCATAGAAGTCTTGGTAAAGCTTCACATCGAGGTGGGCCAACCTATGCAGGTATGGTGCCCCCCATCGCTGGTCCCAGGCACTGCAGTTAGCTGGATCTGGGGTCAAGAGGGGCAGGAGGGTCTCAGTAGTGGAGGGGGAGCTGATACTGGTGGGAAGGCTCTCCATTGGTTGCAAAGGACAAATAGATGAGGGTCTGAGTGGTGGGAGAAGTGAAGAAAGAAGATATTAGTCTTGTGCATAACATAGAAATATCAAACCTGCTATGGGTAGAACTGGAAACACAAGGCTGCATGGATGGCCTATATATGTTTGTGCCACATTATAAATCTCTGTTAAGTCAAATTTAGTGATAGTGATAATATCAGTGGCAGTAACAGCTTTACATTTATTTTCTAAATTAATAGTAAGTAGCAAAGTTTTAGGTATGTCTAAGATTTGCCATGAGGATTTAGTACATGGGCTAATAATGAAGTTTTTGTATGTATGAAACTTTTTTATGTGCGTATGTTTTGTTTGTGGCTTTTGTATTTAATTGGAAAGGTTGGAAATGCAATGACATGCTGTCACAAAATACCATCCGTCTCCACCCAAGCAGCACTTGAACATCATTTAAAATTCAGTCTGTTTCAAGGTTGAAAAAGAGACAAAACAAGTAAGAAATACTGAACAGAAATAACCACTGGCTTCCATGTTGCCTTCTACTGTTTTCCGGCCTGTCTGTGACATCAAATGTGACACACCAGAGAAAAAAAAAACAGAAAGACAAACTACTGCAGAGCTGTGTACACGTCTCCAAGGCTGAAAAGAAACTGCTTGACTTTTAAACCAACATGGGTGAGAAGTCCTAAAAAAAACTCTGTAACCACTGAGCTTACACAGTAATAAATATGTTTCTAATAAACTGAGCAAACTCAAACCACTGATGAAGACTGTGTTATACAGTTGCAAGCTCGGGAAATAATGGGCTGAAATTAAACCATGCATGCACTGTTCATATATGTATAGAGAATCAGTTTTATCCTGAGAGCAAGCTGTTATTGTTTCCACTGAGAAACTAGGAAGAAATGATGCTGTAAGAACAGCATCATCGTCTGCATACAGGGCCATTTTATGTTGTGTTTACTGTGTTGAATTCCTTTGAGACTTTTATTAGCTTTTCTCAACTGGCAGTTATACAGGTCATTATAGCATTGAAATGACTTTTGCTTCATGTGTGCCTTTGTGATTTTGAGGAGGTAAACTTGACACTTGTCCCAGACTCATTTGTTTGTAGTTTAAAGGCTAAAAGCATGTTAGGATTGTTTCCAGATGTGTGGCGTTGCTGTCTATGTTTAACCATCACTTAGCAGGAATTTCAACTTCTGACAGGGACTCCCATCATGTTTGCAGGAGACAGACGTCTTAACCTTATACCCTGGAGTCAGCCGTTGATACTGTGTTATAAATAGACTTAAACAGCTCAAGTCTAAATTGATGCAATGTGCTCCAACTGGCTTAAAACAACTCAACATATTCCAGCGTAGTGAGCAGACACACACATACTAAAAACTAAAAGAAAGAGTAATGACCCCTGGGGATGAAAAGTGGTCAACATCAGCAGAAGTTAATCCAGAGAGAGAGACTTCAGAAATCCTCGTCTTATAAACAACGTCCTCTCGTACTGTAGAGATGACTGAATTCATCTTCATATGCGCTCTAAAAGGATGTGACACTTTCAACAAAGTTAAGTACGTGATCTTGTCTGTTACTTTAAACACAGCATTAATATGAACCATGTCAGTGTGTGCTGCTATCTAACACACTGTTGACACATGTTGTGTTGAACATGAGATATACGTTTGTCCTGAACGAGTCACATATATTTGATGAATGTGACACGTCCTGTTTATGGGAGAAGAGAGTTTAAAATCCTCAGTGTGCAGATTCTGTTAACTTTCAAGAGTTAGCTGAATATACATTAACCTAAAAATATACCAAGCTTTTTAAAGGAACTCTGGTTTGACTAAGAGGATGTGAGGTATGGTAGAAAATAAGACTTGCATGGGGAGTAAGCTACTAATACAGTTAAGTCGCAATGTGTATTTAAATTTGTTCTGTATGCGACGCCCAAATAAGTTGTACAATATTTTGGAAAAATAATGATTGTTTGGTGAAATTATTTTGAAGTCAAGAATGAACATTGATGCTTATACGTTAGTTTGATGAATTATAAGACTTATCTTGGTTGTCATCATTGTTACAGCTGCAAAAGATGTCTAAGTGTATGTGTAATATAAGTTTACAGTTTTTACATAACATAAAACAAAACTTTTCCTGTCACAATCAAGTTGTGTTGACATGTTTTTGGTATTTAATTAAAAAATATGATAATTATATGAGCAGCTGAACAATGATAATAAGACAGGTTTGACTAGGACAGTTAAATGAGCACTTAAATGTAACTTGAAATAAGATATTTAAACAAATTCAAATGAGTTTGATTGAGGAAAAACAGTTAAAGGTTATAATTGAAATCTTACCAGTTTGACACCTGAGCAGGGCTGTATTATGAGACAAGGGCCCCTGGGCGCAGATGTGCAAAAGACCTCACCACCTCTCCCACACAGGAGAAAGACACACAGACTTTGTGGTGGTTTTGCCACTTTTGTTGTTGTTGCTGTTTTGCATCTCTTTGCCATAGCTATGCATATTTTTGTCATGTTGTGTCTCTTTATGGTTGTTTTGCCCCTTTTTGTAGTTATTCTGTGTGTTTTGCAGTTCCTTTGCATCTCTTTGTGTGTGTGTTTTTTTTTTTGTGTGTGTGTGTGTGTGTGTCACTTCCTGTCAGGTCATTTTGCAGGTGAAGGTCAGGGGGGCCTTGACACTTTGGGTCTCTGGGTCTGTGCATGGGTTGGCCCCGTTCTAAAATCCATCCATGCACCTGAGTGAATGTTTTATAGTTTCATTTTTTATCTGGACTATTTAAGTTATCTGGACTATGTTTTTCTTCACTAAAACAGGCAGAACACCAAATGGATTTTCTCTAAATCACAGCCCTGCAGCGTGTTGTAAAAAGTCTTTTTTGACTGACTCCAAAAATGTCTTTCCTTTCCTCATAAGTACCAGAGATGGATGAGCTCCTATCTGTTCACACGTCCTGCCGAGGAAGGTCTTTCCACTCTTCATCATCATACAGACAGCTGAATAAAACATTGCAGAGGGCCTGGATTAAAAGACGCATGCTGCTTTCTGGTTCCTGATTTGACCATCTCTTGTACATGTCATGTCAATGTATAATAACAGATTTGTGCAGATTATTGTTACCCAGCGCCCAGCACATTTAAGGGCTGTCAACTATCAAATCTTTAAAGATTCCTTTAAGCTAAACTTTACATCAGTAAATTTCAACTCATTTAGTAATCTTTAATGAATGAAAGCTCCTGTTTTCACATAATGTCCCATCAAAAATCAATAAGCTGCACAAGGTGAGAGAAACACAGCTGAAGCTGAAATAAATTGCAGAGGGATCAGTGGGTTAAAGTAATCTAGTCCCTGATGGAAAACAAGCCACAGTGTGACATTTTAATGAACTTTTTATGTCTTAAAATGTTTCTGAAACATACCTTTTGAAGTGAAAAAGCCCTTACTCAGTAGGTCCACCCACAACTTGTTAAAGTTAAAATGTTTGTATCCTTATAATACAGTGGCAGGTTGCTGTTCTCCGTCTTCTTTGTTCCCTCTATTCGTTCTGTAGTCAGTTAGTAGACAGAGGAGAGTGAGTAGAGAGATGGGGTGTGAACCTCTCTGGGCGGGACGAGTCCTCCAGCAGAGCAGAGTGCACAATCAATCAGCTGGACCTCCTTCTCAGCTCTTTCTCATCTCATACCTCATCCCACAGGTAGGATACAGGAGTAAATACAAATTAGAATAGAAAACAACAGAGAAGAGTTTCCCCCCTGTAGTTTCCTCCCATACTCTCCTTTTTCAACCTCTTTTGAACTATCCCTTTTACCTTCCTTCCCTCTGCCTCCCTGCTTTAAATCAGTTTTACTGTTTCAGTCTTTTTTGTATACTTAAAATAATGGTTTGGGAGGGATGGAAGAAAGGAAGTGGAAGGAAAACAGAAGTACTGGCTCAATAAAACAAGATTTCAAATAATTTGGTTGTTGAGGCAAGCAAAGGTTGGCAACATATGTGATCAAAGAAAGACCAAACAAAAAGGCAAACAAGAAACTTGCAGAAAACAGGATCTAATAATATATGATATAAGCAGTGGCTTCAGAACGTATTCCAGCCAAGTTGCCAGAATAAAATGATGGTATTGTACATTACATTATATACGTATGACGTTCAACATGTCCATGAACTACATTTCTCATCAGGAGGAGGAGAGGACGGTGGATGGTGTGACATCTACGCAAGATGGCTGCCAAGCAAAAGACAGCAAATGTTTTTTGCACCTAAACCTAACCACATGTTAACCACAGCATTGTCACAACATTAAATTAAATATTGAAATGTAAAGAAACCTCATATCTGCTACATATGAAACATACAAATGTAACATATCTGTGGTTTGCAGACATACATTTATTCTTGAGTCACTTTTTGCACACTTTATTGTGTTGTAGATGTAACTTAAACTGAATACACTTGACATTTTGCCCTAAATTTAACTCAGCATGCACAAGGACAAAATTAAAACATGCTTTTCAAATTTATTAAAAATCAAAAACTGAAATCTCTTATTCACATAAGTATTCAGACCACATTAATAGAGTGAATCATTGTGTTTCTTTGCTGCAGCACTTCATGATGTGTTCAGGTGCATCCTGTTTGATTTAATTATCACTGAGATGTGCCTGACTGGACTCCACCTGTGGCAAATTGAATTGATTGGGCAAAGGCACACACTTGTCTATATGAGGTCCTCTGATTCACACTACATTTCACTACAAAAACTAAGTCAAGTAGTGATTTGTAGACCTCTGCGACAATTATTTTGTAAGACAGGATCTGGATATAAAAGTATTCCTGAAGTTGTGAGTGTTCCCAGGAACACAGTGGCCTCAATATTTGTGAAATGGAAGAAGTTTGGAACGACCTGGTCCTGTTCCTAGAGTTGGTTTAGAGGATCTGCCAAGAAGAACGGGATAAACTTCTTAAACATTTGCAAAATTTACCCA